GATATTTAACAAAATGTTTAATTCAAGTCATGGAGGTTGCTTTTAATATGAAAAGTATTTTTTACGGGTGAATCTTTGAATGGGAATCAATTTTAAAGATTTTGGATGTTCTGCTCTTCCCCCCTTCTCACTACTGCACTTGACTAGTCTTTACAACAACGACAACAACAAAAGATTCTGGGGGGCCGGGGGTCCCAGTTGGGTGGAAAGGGGAACCTCAGTGGTGTAGGTGATGCCTGGGGTTAGAATTCTGAAAAGTTTTGAGAAAAACTTTTGCTGTTATGACAACAAAACCAGTAATAGACAAAAAGCAACACTGTGCAGGAAGAGACCTTATGAGAGAAGTTTGAAAGTCAAATATATAATATTAAATGGACTGTAGGTTCAAGCCAGAGAGTTTCTAGAGAGCACATGAAGACACCAAGAGACTGTAGAAAGCCCAATCTTTAAGAGGCTACTAGACCCACTGACAGAGTGGAAGAGACTGTTTGTGGTTCTGGCTCTGTGTAGACCTGAGTGTCCTTGACTAACAGTAACATGCTTTACATAAATGTAGTTTGTGCATCCACATTTCTCATAATTTATAATAGTTTAGTTGTGCAAATGAGCCACATAGGCTGGACCATGCTGGTGGGTTGGATAGGAAAATTGGGGCAGTCACTGAGCGCCCCACAGAGGCACTTCCTTTTCCTGGCATTGACAAAGTCAGCTCTAACTATCACCCCTTCTCTAAAATGTATCCCCTCAATAAGAAGGCAAGGCCTTATTGTGTATTTCATCAGGTTACTTGTGTGATAATTATTCACATGCCCCCCCCCCCAGGGAACTTCAGTGAAGGTCGAACGATCTCTTCTGACGGTTTTGGATATTCTAGCTTTGTCTTGAGCACATGGCACCACAGCAGACCTTTATATCCTTCCCTCGGCTGTCCCCCACCGCCATCATATTTTCTCTTCCTGGGCTCACCTAGTGGCAGCATAGACACTGCTCTTCAAATGTTAATTTGCAATAGCAATTGCTAGGGATTTGCTAAATGTGGATTCATGATTCAGAGTTCTGCGATCTAGCAAGTTCAGGTGATGCCTAAGTTGCCTGATCTTCTGAGGTCACATTTGGTGCAGAGTGTGAAAAACCATCCAGCACAGACTCGATTTAGCCAGTGTCCTGGGTCTGTGGACAGAAAAATCCAACTCTGAAATATTTGAAAGAAGTGTATTCTGAGCTAATTTGAGACATGACCGGAGCCCTCCATGGACATCTTGAGCAAGTGAACTCGATGTGGTTAGTTACAGTTCGATTTTATAATTTATAATTTTTATCATTTCAGGGAGATAGGGTTACAGGTAAAGTCATAAACATAAGTGGGAGGCATACATTCTTTTTGCCCAAAAGGAGGGTATCTCAAAGGAGGGGCTTACAGGTGTAGGTGGGTTTAAAGATTCTTGGCTTGTAAAGAAAGACCTGAAGCTTTGTTAAAGGCTTGGAACGTTTCAACTTAGGAGCTGTTATCAGAGATGAGCCACGGACATAGATTTATTGTGTAAATTGAGGACCTGTAGTTTGTCTTGCATACCCTTAAGCCTGTTTAATGGGTTTCTAAAGGATGTCCCAAGAAGGGAGGGAGCATAAGGCATGTTTGACCTCCTTCATCCTGGCAGGCAATTTGTTTTAGTTATTCCTTCAGTCACCAGGGGCCATGTGGGGGTGAGCCTTAGAAATTTATTTTAGTTCACAGTTCAAATCCGAAGAGTTCTGTCTCTTATTAGCTGTGTGATTGTGGCAGGTAAGCCTCTCGTCCTCGCTGCAAAATGAGCTCCTCACAGCACCTATCATACGCAATTGTGAGCATTAAATAAAATAACATAGCAGCAGCATCAGGTTCGCCTCCCAGTCCAAGTACACTAAGTGGTAGTTACCACGCGGAGGGGCGGGCGCTGTCCATGCACGCGCATGCGCGTCCCCGGTGCGCGCGCTTCAGGTAAGAGGCCGAGCAGGTCCGCGTTCGGAGGCCTGTCTGGGGCTCTCTGGTGCGACGACTGTGGTGGCGTTTTTCATGGGAAGCTCTCGGCAGAGTTCTGGGCCATGGGCGCTCCCGTGTCGCTGTCTGCAGTTCGCCGGAGGCGAGCGTTTCCGGTCGGTCGTGACCTTGCTCGGCAGCCGGCCGTGCGGCCTGCGCTGCCCGCGGGTGTCGGCGCAGGCCCGGCCCAAGCGTTCGGGGCCACGGGCCGGGCGGCCGGGTTCCAGAGACCGGGGGACGGGGGCCGAGGCGTGGGTCGCCAGCGAAGCCGCCGTCCTCGGCCTCTGCTGCTTGCTCGGTTCCGCGTGGGAACCTGGAAGAAGCGCTGCTGTTAAGGAGACCCAGGAGTAGAGCAGAGAAACTTGTCCACTAGATACTGCGGGGACCTTGCTGTTTGAAACCGCGTCTCCTGGGATTGCTGGCAGAATGAGGCCCTTCCGCACGGAGAAGCAGCCTGGTTCCAGCCGCGGAAAGGGCTTGCGGACACGACGCTGCACGATTGTCTTGAGCTTGTGCACCCGTGTCAGCTTCTCAGCCAGTGTGGCGTTAACGTGACACACGCCTGCGTTGAGCCTGCCAGAGACTGTTCATTTAACTCTAAACTCCACCTTTCTCAAAACCTTCTTCCTGGGCTGAGGTCCCTTGCTTGTAAAACATATATGTGTGTGTATATTTGTGTGTGTGTGCGTGTGTGTGTTGGACAGTCTTGTACCCTGTTGGAGTGCAGCTACTGCATCCTCAAATTCTGGGCTCAATCGATCCTCTGCCTTACCCTCTCAAGTACAGGACTATAAGACATGCACACCCAGCAATTTTTCATTTTTGTAGAGACGGGTTTTTGCTCTTGCTCAGGCTGGCCTTGAACTCCTGAACTCAGCGATTCTCTGCCTCAGCTCCCGAGTGCTATGATTACAGGCTGAGCCACTGTACCGGTCGTGTATCATATATTTTAAAGGTAAATGCTTGTTATAGTGTTTTTGACTTTTATTTTTGACTTGGCATCACCTACAACAAAACAATATTTTATGTGGATTACTTAAATTATGGAATAGGGTGCATGCAGGCTTTGCTTTATTCACCTCTTGAACACTAAAAATAACCCCAAGAGAGCTATCTGTATTTAGCATGACTCATTATCTGTCAGTAATGTACCATATTGTAGTGAACAGAGCAAAACAATTCTCTCTTCCCACCTACCACAGGTTTAGTAATGATTGGGTTCTTTTGTAACTTCCTTTGCTTCATTTTTTATGTTAAGAAAAAAAGTTTTAATCCTTTGGTCCCAGGGTGATCATATTATCAAAATGAGAAAAGGAATATTTGGAAGGAGGACACCTGGTAGGATATTCCAGATAATCCTACAAAAGAGGGATTTTTGGATTACTGCTCAGGCATTGTGAGAGGAGTTAGAAGGGAATGGGTAAATGCCTGACAGTCTGAGATAAAAACTAGTGGTTCTCCTGTTCTTGACTTCAGGCTACAGGAGGCCGAGTAAAAACTTGGTTTACATTCATATATTCAGTAGAGTTAAATATCTATTTCTTAATTTGTTATGTAGTGCTTTCTGTTATTTTATTAGAAAAAAGAATAAAGACTCAAATCCTTTTTCTTGATTAACTTTACTTACAGGAGACATTAAGTCTAAGCAGTCTGTAGTTTTGCCATTACTGGTCATCACTCCACCAGTTTTCCCTCACTTGTAAAATTATTTGGAGTGGATGTGGTGGTTTTGCCTGTATCCCAGATTGTGGTAGGACTGCTTGAGCCAAGAAGTTCAAAGACACAGCAAAATAGCCAGACGGTGTCTTTAGAAATAGAAAAATTAGTAGGCGTGGTTGTATGTGACCACAGTGTACTCAAGAGGCTGAGAGATTGGGAAGTGGACAGTTGCAGCTGAGTTCATTTTTTCTTTTGAGACAGGGTCTTACTCTGTCCCCAGATGGAGTACAATGGCGTGATCATAGCTCACTGCAGCCTCAGCCTCTAGGTAGCTGGGACTACAGGTGCACGCACACCGATGCCCAGCTAATTTTTAAAATATTTTTGTAGAGACAGGGTCTTGCTGTGGTGCTCAGGTGGTCTTGACTTCTGTCTCAAGCAGACTTACTGCCTCAGCCTCCTAAAGTGCTCGAGTGGCATGCATGAGCCACACAGCCAGCCAGGAATGTGTATTTGTAACAAGCAGCAATCTTGGGTGATGTAGTTTAAGTGTTAAGACTGTTAGAAGAGCAACTCCCAGGAACAGAACCAATTCGTTTATGGCTCCCTTGTATCTTGCATCTAGCAAAATGCCTGAATATGTCACATAGTTTATGTTACATGATAAATGAGAACTCCAGCTATCTTTGTGGATACTTTACAAAGAGCTTTTACATATTGTGCCCATTAGATCATCTAATTCCCAGTAAGGTAAAAAAAAAAATGATTAACCTCTCTCACATCTAAATTGTTAGAAATCTAATTCTTAGTTCCATAAATTATTAGTTTTGACAATGTCTTCTTGAATTTCTTTTTTGGTGCTTATTCAATCTTGTGTTTTGGCTCACTGTGCTTCAGGCATGGAGTTGAAAACTAGGTAAGTAACATGTCTAAAACAAAAGTATACAGTACTTTGGGGTCTTAGTCTACCAGAGAAATCAGTGAAACTGTGGATGAATTAAGTTATTTTTATTTTATTTTTTTTTTGAGACAGAGTCTCACTTGGTTGCCCAGGCTAGAGTGATGGCTGTGGCATCAGCTAGCTCACAGCAACTCAAATCCTGGACTCAAGCGATCCTTCTGCCTTGCCTCAAGTAGCTGGACTACAGGCATGCACCACCATGCCAGCTAATTTTTTTGTATATATTTTTAGTTGGCCATTAATTTTCTTTCTATTTATAGTAGAGATGGTCTCGCTCTTGCTCAGGCTGGTTTCAAAGTCCTGACTCGAGCAATCGCCCGCCTCGGCTCCAGAGTGCTAGGATTACAGGTGTGAGCACTGCGCCTGGCCTAGAGTTATTTTTATAGAAGTGGTAGTAGAAGTTTAAATATGCTTGTTCAGGTTTACACATTTTGTTATTGTTAAATTTAGGATGACTCGCAGTTTGGAACCACTGGCAAAGATGATCTTTACAGGAGTTTTAGTAACTCAACTTGGAGCCTATTTTGTGTTGGCTAAGATGAACACAAGCCAAGGTAATCATAAATCAGAAGCATAATTAATGCTTTATAGAGGGGTATAGAGTTTGCTAATGCATTTTAGGTACCAAATAATAATGGCATTTTGAGAGAAATTGCTTCTCCAGATTCATGTATTAGATATATTTATGGCCAGAAGGGAAATCAAGTATTCATTATAGTACATAGATGATTCTCACTTTCTCTCTAAAAATGTGCTTGTAGAGTAGAGGAATGTTGACACTTCCATGGGTTTTTACTAGTGAGTAGGTAGAGGAAGTGTCCTTTCTTAGTTTGGGAACACAGATAGAGGAAACTAGCCTGCCCATTATGCTTCATTGGTAGATGGAGAAAGTTAAGAAGTGCATTGCTGTTTTCTCTGGTAACCAGTTTTCTCAGGCTAGGGTATCTGTGCATCAATAGTGGACACAAAAGGATTCCATGCTATCACTGAAAGTGCGTTGACATTTTGTTTGGGGTGAAATTTTATATTAGAGCCCTCAACTTTTTCTTTTTTTTTGAGATAGAGTCTCACTTTTTGTGGCCCCAGCTGGAGTGCAGTGGCATCATCATAGCTTATTGCAACTCAAACTCTTGTGCTTAAGCAATTCTTGCCTCAGCCTCTCAGGTAGCTGGAAGACAGGCACGCACTACCATGCCTGTCTAATTTTGCTACTTTTGTAGAGATGGCCGTTTCTCAGGCTCCTCCTGAATCTGACTCAAGGGATCCTCCTGCTTTGGTCTCCTCGAGGGCTAGGATTACAGGCGTGAGCCACTGTGCCCAGCCACAATCAACTTTTTAAATTAGAAAGTGCTTTTTCTCAAAAGCAGGGAGTAATCATGGGGTGGTGGCCATCTTTGAAACTTGTCACTCCCTCAAAGTACTTAACTGGAACCTGTACCAGGATGCTAGGGAGTATTGAGGAACTCTCTATACTTTGGCTGGGTGTGGTGGCTCAGGCCTGTAATGCTAATACTTTGGGGTAAAAAAACCTCCTAAAAACCAGAAAAATCTCTATATTTTTATAGTCTAAGGATATAAAGAAAGCATCTCAACAGTATTTAAAAGCAAATTAAAGTTTGGGATCAGTTTTGAAAACTGGGTATGATCTTATTTCTAATTCCTTATTAGGGTAAAACAGTATCCACAAAAACAATTCATAAAGTTGCATAAGGGCATTAATTATTGACACTGAAAATTTGCTTTTAAATACCATTTAAAAATAAATTACATCATATATACAGGCCAAATTTTAAAAACTCTAAGATAACTATAAGGCAGCTACATGTTAAGGTAACTTAGATCCTATCCAAAAGAATATAGTTCCCAGATCACCAGAAGGACCTTAAAACAAATTTCTAATGTATATGATTCTCATTATGTGAACCCTAAAGGTGGCATTAAATTGTGGCTCTATGTGTTAATGTAATGAATTTCTGATCATGTCTAATTTCAAGACTTCCTTTTTTTCATCAGATTTCAGGCAAACAATGAGCAAGAAATTTCCCTTCATCTTGGAAGGTATGTTTTTCCTTAAGTAAAAATGAGAGTATAAACCACCTTTTTCACATAACCTTTAAATTTAGTAGTGTCCTTACAATGAATTAAGAACTAAATGGCTTCATTTTAAATGTTTCAATTTCCAACAATACTATTCACTTCTATTTTATTTTCTTCTGAGAAAGTTCTCATCTAGAGTTATCTAGAATTACCTAGATGCGAGATAGCTAATGGACTACACTCTTAATTCTTCCAGTAGTTAAAAAAAAACATAGACTTTGGAATGAGACATATCTCAATGGGTTTAAAATATCCTTTTAATCTCAGGTTTGCTAATTTCTCAGAGCTATTTCTTTCTCAAGTAGGGGTAATGTCTACTTCCATGGGAGTATTATAAGGGCTGAACAATATAACCATATATACTTACTTAGCACAGTGTCTGGTATAAAGTAACAATAAAAAATGTTTATTACAATGATAAGTAGAGGTGTGTGAGCTTATACATAAATATGTAATCCTATTGTTCCCTTTTTAATTTTATTATGTAACAATATGGAAAAAAGTTTTTCTTAATGCAAGTTTTAACATTTTTACATGACTTTATAAGTGACAGCTATTTTTATTTATAGTTTATTACAGATCCATTGAACAGTTTGGAATGTATGGAATCAGAATACAAGATCAAGAAAAATGGTTGAACAGCAAAAATTAGAAGTAGAATTTTAATGTATAATTTACATTAATAACTCATTTCCTTTGCTTTTTACTTTTATGAGTGGTTTTCAGCCTCTTCTTCCTGAAATTTTTCTTTTTCTTGATGATACTTTTCAAATCTTTGTTGTGTAGCCAGTCATCACGTTCAGCCTCCCATTTAAGCTGTTTGAGACCTTTAAGAGGAGAATAAAGATGAGCTTACTACTACAGTGAAGACTCCTGGCGGTCACACAGAACATCCTACTGAGTAACAAAAACTTCTGGCCTGTGATGGCCTGCACTTTCTCACCCAGTATGCAAATCCACTGCTTTTTTGTCGCTTTTCTTCTGTATTTATTGTCAAAGACTAATATCTAATAAATAAATGACTAAGGAAGGAAAAGGAACAAATGCTCTAAAGATTTTCTTTCCTCTGATTACTTTTATTGGTGAAAGAATAAAAACCATAACCATATCAGAAATGTTTTAAAGCATATAAAGTTACTCAGCAAACTTATCCTACATAAAAATAGCCTGCCTTTCTAACAAAAGCTAAAGTAATTATTATAGTCTGTAGTCTTTTGCTGTGGTCTAAATACTTTTTAATTCTTCATGCTCTCCTAAGAGGGAGAAGAAAAAGCCATTCTCTTTCTAGGTTAGAAGGTACCCTAAAAAGGTCCTTCAAAAATAGCCATATCTTCTGAATTTTTAAGTCAAGCCTATTTTTAAAAACGTCAATAAAAAATAGGTTACTTACTTGCATTGTCTTTGTTAGCCATGGCATTCATGCCAATGCTATCAAACTTGGATCCCATATTTTCATCCAATAGGTGGCCAAACTTAGGGGGAAAAAAAAAGGGTAATTTCTTAGGAAACTTAAAGTAATGTGGAATAGCTAACTTCTTAAAGTAGTACATTAGCCTTACCTCTTCAGCAGATACAAATAGGCTGGAGTCATTTAAGTTTCTTTTCTGTTTTTTTCTTGATCCTAAAAAAAATTGTAAGTCTAGATTATTTAATTATAAATCTAATGATTTTGAAAAAATGTAATTTCTTCTAACATGATCTTATTAAAAAGATATCTTTGGGTAAAAATACAACTGCAGTTATTTTCTAGCACCATTAGGGAGCTGGCATTTAATGAAAAATATAATTTAAGAGTTAACCCAGATTCATAAAGCAAACTCTAGTTGATCTAAACAAATGGAGAAACAACAACACCATAATAGTTGGAGACTTTAACACCCCACTGACAGCACAGGACAGATCTTCCCAACAGAAAATCAACAAAGAAATAATGGACTTAAACAGAACTCGAGAACAAAGGGGCCTGACTGACATTTACAGGACATTCTACCCCAAAACCACTGAATGTATGTTCTTCTCATCAGCTCATGGGTCATTCTCTAAGACTGACCATATCCTAGGATATGAGCATGTTTCAAACAATTTAAAAAAATAGAAATTATACCATGTATCTTTTCAGATCACAATGGAATAAAAGTAGAAATCAACCCTAACAGGAACTCTCATTTCTACACAAAGTCATGGAAACTAAACAATCTTCTGCTGAATGATCACTTCATAAATGAGGAAATCAAGGTGGAAATCAAAAGATTCTTTGAATTAAATGACAAAGGAGACACAAGTTATCAAAAACTGTGGGACACAGCTAAAGCAGTCTTGAGAGGAAAGTTTATTTCCATAAATGTCTATATCCAAAAGTCGAAAAGATCACAAATAGACAATCTAATGAATCGTCTCAAAGAGCTGGAAAACAGACGACCAGACCAACCCCAAACAAGCAGAAGAAGTGAAATCATTAAGATCAAATCAGAACTAAATGAAATTCACAACAGGGAAACCATACGGAAGATTAATAAAACAAAAAGCTGGTTCTTTGAAAAAATAAACAAAATTGACACACCTTTGGCTAGACTAACGAAAGCAGAAAAGAAAAATCTCTAATAAGTTCCTTCAGGAACAATAAAGGAGAAATTACAACGGATGCTACAGAGATATAAGATATAATTTATGAATACTACAAAAACCTCTATGCACACAAACTGGAAAATGTGGAGGAAATGGACAATTTCTTAGAAACACACAGCCTCTCTAGGCTCAACCAGGAAGAAATAGAATTCCTGAACAGACCAATATCAAGTACTGAAATACTTGATATTGAAAACAGCAATAAAAAACCTTCCTAAAAAGAAAAGTCCTGGACCAGATGGTTTCACACCCGAAATTTACCACACCTACAAAGAAAAACTGGTGCCTATCCTGTATAAATTATTCCACAACATGGAGAAGGATGGAATCCTCCCCAACACATTTTATGAAGCGAACATAACCCTGATGCCAAAACCAGGAAAGGATGCAACAAAAAAAAGAAAACTACAGACCAATATCCCTTATGAATATAGATGCAAAAATTCTCAACAAAATCCTAGCCAGTCGAATCCAGGTGCTTGTCAAGAAAATAATCCATCACAACCAAGTGGGCTTCATCCCAGGGATGCAGGGATGTTTCAACATATGCAAATCTATAAATGTAATTCATGGTATAACCAGAAGCAAACACAAAGACCATATGATTCTCTCAATAGACACAGAAAAAGCATTTGACAAAATTCAACACCCTTTAATGATAAGAATGCTCAACAAAATAGGCATAGATGGGGCTTATCTAAAAATGATACAACCCATATGACAAAGCCACAGCCAATATCATACGGAATGGGGAAAAATTGACAGCATTCCCACTTAGAACTGGAACAAGGCAAGGTTGCCCACTATCTCAACTTCTATTCAACATAGTGCTGGAAGTCCTTGCTACATCAATCAGACAAGAGAGCGGAAGAGATCAAACTCTCACTCTTTGCCGATGACATGATATTATACCTAGAAAACCCCAAGGATTCAACCAAGAGACTCCTTTTTTTTTTTTAAATTTTTTTTTCCTTTCTATTTTTTTTTATGTGCACTTAGGTGTTGACGAGATTCCTTGAATTGATAAATGAATTTGGTAAAGCCTAAGGATACAAAATCAATACACAGAAATCGGAGGCATTCATATACGCCAACAACAGTCAAAGTGAGAACCAAATCAAAGACTCAATTCCCTTCAAAATAGCAACAAAAAAAATACAGTACCTAGGAATATATTTTACTAAGGAGGTAAAAGACCTCTACAGGGAGAACTATGAAACACTGAAGAAGGAAATAGCAGAGGAGGTAGACAGGTGGAAGAACATATGCTCATGGGTCGGCAGAATCAACATTGTTAAAATGTCTATACTACCCAAAGTGACCTACAGAGTCAATGCAATCCCTATCAAAATACCATCATCATTTTTCACAGATATAGAAAAAATAATTTTACGCTTCGTATGGAACCAGAGAAGACTCCATATAGCAAAATCAATCCTAGGCAATAAAAACAAAATAGGAGGGATCAATTTATCAGACTTCCAACTATACTACAAGACTATAGTAATTAAAACAGCTTGGGACTGACACAAGAACAGGGACATTGACCAGTGGAACAGAACAGAGAACCCAGATATAAAACCATCCTCATATAGCCTGGAACGATCTGAATAAATCGTTTTTAAAGATGGTTAGTTAGCTAAGTTATTCGTTTCTTGCGCATATTTTGTTACTAAAGTGGCACAAGCAGGATAACATATTGTAGAACATAAATATTGCTTAGAGGGTTTGCTAGAGTTTTTTGCTAAGGGCATTTATGTAGCCATATGTTATTAATGACATGTTGACAGAAAGCTTCCAACAGATCAATTATTAATAGATTTTATGGCAGGGGGATGAAGCAAGGGATCTCATGTATAGTGAACTAAATTATGACGGATCACATATCCTCTTTAATAGTAAGACTGTTCTATTAGATTAGAGGAATTTGACACTATCCTAGGTTACTAGATGTGTACAGTATGAAGTCTGTCTTCAGTTTGGGAGCACAGATAGAGAAACCTACCTGCCTCAATAGTTAGCATTTTTGGGATAGAAGGTGAAGTGCATTGGTTTCTCTGAGTACGGCAGTTTCCTAGCGAGGGTATCTTGTGCATCAATATTGCACAAATAGTGAACTTTTCCTGCTAATCACTGGTAAGGCGTTGTACAGGTGTGTGTGGGGGGTGAAATTTATATAGACCCTCAACTGTTTTTTTTATTAGTTTTTTTTTGAAAGGATAAGGTCTCATTGTGGGTGGCCCGAGCTGATGCATTGGCACATTCATAGCTTTTATTTGCAACCTCAAACGCTTGCTAGCAACCTCTGCCTCAAAGCCTCATCAGGGAGCTGAAAGACAGGCATCCCAACCTTATTGTGCTTACTTAGGATTTTGCTCTGGTTTTTGAGAGATGGCCTTCTTCTAGCCCTCTTGGACATCCTGAACTAGGTTCCTGCTGGTCTCCTCGAGTGGAGGATACAGGCTGGCCACTGCCCAGCACTAGTTCAATCATTTATAAATAGTCTTTTCCAATGAAGGAGTAATCTACTGTGGTTGCATCATGGAAACTGTTCCTACTTATTATTTTTTTTCAATATACAACTGGTAACTGACGGTAAGCAGGACTAAGGGTAATATTCACGAAACTCCTCCTAACCTTTGGCGGTTTTAGGGCTCAGGCTGTAATGTCTCTAAACGGTAATTAAAATACATAAATATCTAGAAAGATCTTCATATTTTATTATAGGTTTAAGGTATATACGAAAAGCCAAACAGTATTTTATAGAGATAAATAGGTAAGTTTGATCTTATTTTAAAACATCTAGGGTAGTTACTATTTTGAATTCCTTATTAAAGGGGAAGGGAGACGGATTGATCCATAAAATACAATTCATTAAAGTTGCATAAGGGCATTAATTTAATTGACACTGGAATAATTGCTTTTTATAAATACCATTTAAAATATTACATCATTAATAATCAGTCAATTTTAACAACGAAATTAGATACTTATGAGTGCAACTCTAGTTAAAAATGCAGCACATGCTATGGCGATCTAGTATCCTATCCAGATAAGTAATATTAGTTTCACTGATCTACAGAAGAGGTAAAACAAATTCTAATGTTTAATATTTCCATATTATTGAACCCTTAAGGTGCATTATTGTGACTATTGTGGTTATTATTGTTATCCGAACATGATCATATTTCAAGACTTCCTTTGGTTTCATCAGATTTCAGCAATTACAATGAGCAAGAAATCCCTTATCTTGGGATTATGTTTTTCCGGTAAGTGAGAGTATTAACCTTTTATGACTTTTTTTCACAGTAACCTTTAAATTATATTCCTTCAATGAAATTAAGAACTAGAGATGACTGGACCGGTCGGGGGCTCAACGCCTGATATATCTAGCACCTGGAAGAGCTAATGGCGGATTCTGCTCTGAGTCAGATGGCAAGAGGTAACCAGTTCCTGAGCAATTGAAGCAAGACCGTTTTGTCTCTACCTAAAAATAGAAAGAATTATTGCCTACTAATATTAATTTGTAGTAAAAGAAGCAGGCATGGTGGCGCATGGCCTGTAGGTCTCCAGTACCAGGGTGAGACTGAGCACGTTAGGATTCTTGTAGCCCAGGTGTGATTTGAAGTTGGGTGATCGGAGCTGATGCCATGGCAGTCACTCGAGCCGGAGCAATCAAGTGAGACTCTTTGTTCATAAAGAAAAAAAAAGAACTAAATGACTTCATTTTAACACCTTTCGTACCACTCACGAGTTTTCTTGTGTTTCTCGATCCATCTGTTAAAGACCGCTCACGAGTTTTCTCGTGTTTTGAGTGCGGTCTGTTATGGACCTTAGCTGTCAACTGTTTTGTCCATTAAGGAGAGTAGAGGTTTACTGCCAAATTTGCAAATGTAAACATCAAGAATGAAGAAAGGTGACATAATATTTTCCAGAAAAGGCGATATTCTTCTCCTAGCATGGAGAAACAAGCCGGTTGTCCGAATGATATCAACCATCCATGACACTTCTGTCTCGACAACAGGAAAAAAAAAAATAGAAAAACGAGAGAGAATATTGTAAAACCTGCCTGCATCAAGGAATACAATGCCCACATGAAAGCCATTGACCGTGCGTATCAATTCGTGTTGTTCCATTCTAAGGAAAACACGATGAAATGGACAAAAATAGTAGTGCTGTACCTTATAAACTGTGGACTTTTCAATTCTTTAGCATGTACAACGCCCTCAATCCACAAGCAAAAATGAAGTATAAACAGTTTCTGCGATCGGTGGCGAGAGACTGGATAATGGATGACAATAATGAAGGCTCTCCGGAACCAGAGACAAATTTGTCCAGCCCTTCCCCTGGGGGTGCGAGGAGAGCACCTCGTAAAGATCCACCCAAAAGGTGGTCAGGGGATATGAAGCAGCATGAACCTACGTGTATTCCAGGGAGTGGAAAGAAATAATTTCCTACGAGAGCCTGGAGAGTTTGTGCCACCCATGGAAAAAGGAGCGAATCTATATACTTATGTAAATTTTGTTTGGTCCCACTTCATAGAAGAAAATGTTTTAAGCAGTACCATACGTTTAAGAAATACTAGGAACTTTAATTTTTTAGTTGTTTTTGTAAATAAAAATGTTATAATTATTGAAAAACAACACCTAAAGTGCATCATGATCTGTAGTTATGATAATTTAAGTAATGTGCAGTTTGCCCAAAACTGTGCGGTCCCTGGTGTATATCTTAGAGATTTCTATGCAGTACGAAATGTGTTAAATGTGTCAATTTCCAACAATACTATTCACATCTATTTTATTTTCTTCTGAGAAAGTTTTCATCTAGAATTGCCTAGATGAGAGGAGAGATAGCTAATGGGCTAGATTCCTTTTTTTTTTTTTGAGACAGAGTCTCACTCTGTTGCCGGGCTACAGTGCCGTGGCATCAGCCTAGCTCACATCAACCTCAGATTCCTGGGCTCAAGCAATCCTGCCTTAGCCTCCCGAGTGGCTGGGACTACAGGCATGTGCCACCATGCCTGGCTAATTTTTTCTATATACTTTTAGTTGTCCAATTAATTTCTATTTTTAGTAGAGACAGGGTTTCACTCTTGTCAGGCTGGTCTCGAACTCCTGAACTCAAACGATCCACACGCCTCACCCACCTTGGCGTCCCAGAGTGCTAGGATTACAGGTGTGAGCCACCACGTTAAGCCTTGGGCTAGATTCTTAATTCTTTCAATAGTTAAAAACTTAGACTTTGGAATGAGACATATCTCAATGGGCTTAAAAGATCCTTTTAATCTGAGGTTTGCTAATTTCTCAGAGCTATTTCTTTCTCAAGTAGAGATAATGTCTACTTCCATGGGAGTATTATAAGGGCTGAACAATATAACCTATGTACTTACTTAGCACAGTGTCTGGTATAAAGTAACAATAAATAATGTTCATTACAATGATAAGTAGAGATGTGAGAGCTTATATATAAATATGTAATCCTATTGTCCTCTTTTTTATTTTATTATGTAGCAATATGGAAAAAAGTTTTTTCTTAAAACAAGTCTAACAACATTTTTACGTGACTTTATAAGTGACAGCTATTTTTATTTATAGTTTATTACAGATCCATTGAACAGTCTGGAATGTATGGAATCAGAATACAAGATCAAGAAAAATGGTTGAACAGCAAAAATTAGAAGTAGAATTTTAATGTATAATTTACATTAATAACTCATTTCCTTTGCTTTTTACTTTTATGAGTGGTTTTCAGCCTCCTCTTCCTGAAATTTTTCTTTTTCTTGATGATACTTTTCACGTCTTTGTTGTGTAGCCAGTCATCACGTTCAACCTCTCATTTAAGCTGTTTGAGACCTTTAGGAGGAGAATAAAGATGAGCCTACTACTACAATGAAGACTCTTGGCGGTCACACGGAACATCCTGCTAAGTAACAAGAACTTCTGGCCTGTGATGGCCTGCACTTTCTCACCCAGTATGCAAATCCACTGCTCTTTTGTCGCTTTTCTTCTGTATTTATTGTGAAAGACTAATGTCTAATAAATAAATGACTAAGAAAGGAAAAGGAACAAATGCCCTAAAGATTTTCTTTCCTCTGATTACTTTTATTGGTGAAAGAATAGAAACCATAACCATATCAGAAATATGTCTTTAAAGTTATAAAATTACTTAGCAAACTCATCCTACATAAAAATAGCCTGCCTTTCTAAAAGAAGCTTAAATAATCATTATTGTCTGTAGTCTTTTTTGCTGTGGTCTAAATACTTTTTAATTCTTCATGCTCTCCTAAGAGGGAGAAGAAAAAGCCATTCTTTCCAGGTTAGAAAGTACCATAAAAAGGTCCTTCAAAAACAGCCATATCTTCGGAATTTTAAAGTCAAGTCTATTTTTAAAAACGTCAATAAAAAATTTAGGTTGCTTACTTGCATTATCTTTGTTTGCCATGGCATTCATGTCAGTGTTATCAAACTTGGACAACATATTTTCATCCAATAGGTGGCCAAACTTTAAAAAAAAAAAAAAAAAGGGTAAATTTCTTAGGAAACTTAAAGTAATGTGGAATAGCTAACTTCATAAAGTAGTATATTAGCCTTACCTCTTCAGCAGATACAAATAGGCTAGAGTCATTTAAGTTTCTTTTCTTTTTTTTCCTTGATCCTATAAAAAATTGTAAGTCCAGATTATTTAATTGTAAATCTAATGATTTTGAAAAAATGTGATTCTTCCAACATGATCTTATTAAAAAGTTATCTTTGGGTAAAAATACAACTGCAGTTACTTTCTAGCACCATTAGGGAGCTGGCATTTAATGAAAAATATAATTTAAGAGTTAATGTGACCTGTACTGAGTTCCATGAGGATAAGTAACTCTGAGGAGAAAAGAAAAAAGAAAAAAAAAAAGAGTTAATGTGATATTTTTTAAAAAGCTAATATCCTTCTTCCTTTTCAGATTTGGCCACTGATTGCACTTTACCCTTAAAATAAATACCATACCATCAAGCAAGAGATAAATTCCAAAGTTGGCATAGATGGGTTTTGGAATATTTAAGACAAAATATAAATTTTAATTTAGTAGTGGTCTTATTTTTTAGATTATACAGAAATTGACTGATGGCATGTTTATAATGTTATAAATGAAGTTTAGTTTCTACTAGTGACAATAAAGAGGTCATCCTAAAACTCACCTATAGTTTTGAATATATAAACTTTTAAACATAGACAAAGAAGTAAACTGTTGATTTTTAATGTTTAATTTAAATTCACACATTTAAGATCATTCTACCTAGAAATATTGTTTTATATTCATTCTCACTTCTCTGGAAACAGTATTATTCAAATTCTTTGCATCTTTGATATTAATGTCTCTAGCAGTATAGAGACACTTTTATTTTTATTTATTTTTTAGAGACAGGGTCTCAGCCTCCCAAAGTGTCAGGAATTACAGGTGTGAGCCACCATGTCTAGCCTAGAGCCACTTTTAAAAAACATCTTTACTAAAGAATAATTACACACTAGAAAATTCAGTTATGTTAAGTGTATTCAGTACATTTTAATAAATCAATTTACAATCATTCAACCATGACCACCATCCAATTTTAGAACACTTACCAACTCTAAAAGATCCCTGATGTGTGTCCCTTTGTGGTTCCCCCCTTAGCCCTCTACAAAGATATAATCTACCTTGTTTCTATGATTTGCCTTTTCTGGTTGTTTCATATAAATGGGATCATATGGTATGTGGTTTCCTGTATCTGGCTTCTCTGACTTAGCATGATGTTTTTGAAGTAAATCCATGTTGTAGCATGTATCAGTACTTCATTCTACTTTACAGCTGAATAATATTGTATGGATACAACATACTTTGTTTATCCATTCATCAGTTAATGGACATTTGGGTTGTGTCCACTTTTTAGCATTACTGAATAGTGTTGTTAAGAACAAGCATGTTCTTATCAAGGCCACAATAAAAGTTTCTAGAGGATTTCAACTTGATTCCTGTTAAGGTAAAATGTATGTTACTTAAGAACTGTGTAAATACTCATGCGTGCATTACAAAGGTTTTTTTTGGTTTTCACTCATTCTGAAGGTATGTATCTGTATCCTCAATGAGTATGTACTTCCGTACTGCTTTCTTAAAGTTTCCTTAAACTTTGTTTACTCTTAGGGTATCTAACACCTGCAAATGTAGGGTGATACCTCCAGGATCAATTAATAATCTGTTTAAAACCTTTGCCTCTTTTTGTTTCATTCAATTCTGTCCGGCATCTTTTTTTTTTTTTTTTTAAGTTTTGTCTTTCATTTTTTACCCGATAACACTGTCATTATATGTCCGGCATCCTTTAATCTGCATCCAAAACTACTACTGATAACAGATTTTCTTTTTATTTTGAGACAAAGTCTGTCACTCAGGTTGGAATACAGTGGCATGGTCATAGCTCAATGCAACCTTGAACTCCTGCACTCAAGTGATCCTTTTGCCTCAGTCTGCCAAGTAGCTGGGATAGGGAGATGCCACCACACCCAGCTAATTTTTATTTCTGTAGTTATGAGGTCTTGCTATATTGCCTAGGCTGGTCTCAAATTCCTGGCCTCAAGCCACCCTCCTACTTCAGCTTCCCAAAGTGCTGGGGTTAGAGGTGTGAGCCACCATGCCCAGCCTTGATAGAGTTTTGAAATTCTTTCAGGCTAACGTCTTCTGAAATAGTACTTGATTAATGAAAACAAGGTAACTGAGAGCGCACCTTTTAATAACAGGCTCAGTAGGTACCTCAGTAGGACTTGAGGTAAAACAACATTATTCTGAGGGATGATCTTGAGAAAAACTTTGCCTTATATGCTAATATTAAAATGTGATCCTTCATCACTCAGGGGCAGACAAAATCCAGAGTATAACCATTTTATAATTTAAATATGCCTGAGTTAACTCACCTAGCCAATAGTAGACTATGATACTGATGGCAGTATTTGAAAGAGCTGACAAAAATTTTATGGGCATAAGTGTCTGAGAGATTACTACCATATGTAAGTGAATCGTTAAAAAATTTAGTATTTTTATTTATTTTTTGAGACAGAGTTTCACTTTGTGACCCAGGCTAGAGTGAGTGCCATGGCGTCAGCCTAGCTCACAGCAACCTCAAACTCCTGTGCTCAAGCAATCCTACTGTCTCAGCCTCCCAAGCAGCTGGGACTACAGGCATGCGCCACCATGCCCGGTTACTGTTTTCTATATAATTACTTGGCCAATTAATTTCTTTCTATTTATAGTAGAGACGGGGTCTCGCTCTTGCTTAGGCTGTTTTCGAACTCCTGACCTTAAGCAATCTGCCCGCCTCGGCCTCCCAGAGTGCTAGGATTACAGGCGTGAGCCACTGTGCCCGGCCTAGTATTTTTATTTAATAATATAAATTTATCTTTATTCCTTTTTATCAGTAAGCAGAAGCTACAGAGGCATTAGAAAGGAAAGCGTAATGCTTTCTACATTTTTATAAAAATCTTTAAACTGTCAACTGATATATCACTTTTTTCTTTTGTTAGTTTCTTACAAGTTTACACTGTAAAGCATAATCTTATAAGATACACTTAAGAATTCATATCTCTTTTATGTAAGACAAATTGAGATTAAAATTGTTTTCTCATGGCAGTAAAATGGTAGACCGTAAAAATGGGAAAATGAAGTTAATAAAGCATGGACTTTTACAAGGGTCAAATGGCAAAGAATAATAGTTGAGAAAAGGAAAAAGGCAGCATGTATCTGGAAAATTCAGGGCTTGCATATAATTGAATGGTTTAAAAATGATTGAAAAGATAATGTAGAGATATTTAAATGTGAGAGGCAGAGGAAATGATTGAAGGTATATGTGGAAAATAATCCATATCATTGAAAAACAAATTATTTTCCAATATCATCTGGAGGTATATTAAGCAATTTAGGAAGGTTCATTTCCCTAATGATAATGAATAATACCTTTCATGTGGACACTGTTAGGTAGGGATAAGGAGGAAAGGGAGAGGAACACGTTTTATCTACAATAAGAGGATGTAAGAATTGACCATCTAAAAAGAGGTAGAGAAACAGTAAACTGGAGATACAGTCAAGGCCACAAATGGGATAAGCATGCCCACTAGGGGGTTTAATTGTCCTCAAGTGGCCTGGGGTTCATTACCATCTAATTAGTATTGTGGTTGTGACCCCCCACCATGGGCTTTCATGAAGGATTCTGGGAAGATGCTTGTGTACTGACTGAGTTATGTAAGGAAACCTGTCAATCACCCAAGGGCAGCAAATAGAAACTCCACCTAAAGAAAGCAGGGGCAGTTAATTTATCATATGAAAACATGTGTGTATTAGAAACTCAGGTTGTCTCCACTTCCAGAGATAGACCCCTTCCCTCTCTCGAAAGTACTGTGATTAATAAATCTTGGTGCTTGGCTTGCTTGCATCTGTTTGGCCTGCTCATTTGTTCCCTGACTCAGTCTCAGTAACCATTCTTCCACGCTGAGATAAGAACCAGGAAATGCATGAATCTGACAGACACTGCTCAATTTCAGAGATTAAATGCATTTTCTTACCTTGAAATGAGCCTGCAAAGTCAAAATCATCTGCACCTTTTCTCTTGCTTTTCTTAGTATTGACTTTGGAACAGCCTTCATCGAGTTCTATCACACAAAAAATTTGCATTCAGCAATTTAAAAACAATAGGACTGGAAAATAGCATTCTAAGATATGCTAAAATATTTAGTACAAAGCCAAGGTGCTATACTGCTTTTGCATGTGGGTTTCATAATTCTACCATCATAGGCTTTGAGGAAGGAGTTAGATCGAGACTCTAAGAATAACTGGTATACTGCTATATTTTGTGCCAAGTACCAAATTTATTACATAGCTTCATTAATACGACCATATACTATAAAACTCCTTAAAACAAGAAACTTGTGATGTGGTCCAGAATAAGTACAAAGATGTTGGGCAGGTGTATGTATACTGTAGGAACATGAAAGGACAATAAGGGCTAGAAAACAGTCCAAAGACACAATTCTGGGTGCTCTTTGCTAATTTACAGCAATAAAATAAAATATTTACTTTCTTCATCTATGCTATGGGGCTATGATGATTTGGATTAACTTTTATAAACTTCTAATTACTTGTCTTACATAAAAAAAGGGCAACATTACAGTTCAATTGGCATTGTACAGAGAAGCTAATTGTTGGTTTAAGTCTAAAACTCAAAACTCATTGCTTTTAATATGCTTTTATTTATTACGGGTGAATCTTTGAATGGGAATCAATTTTAAAGATTTTGGATGTTCTGCTCTTTCCCCCTTCTCACTACTGCACTTGACTAGTCTTTACAACAACAACAACAACAACAACAAAAGATTCTGGGGGGCCGGGGATCCCAGTTGGATGGAAAGGGGAACCTCAATGGTGTAGGTGATGCCTGGGGTTAGAATTCTGAAAAGTTTTGAGAAAAACTTTTGCTGTTATGACAACAAAACCAGTAATAGACAAAAAGCAACATTGTGCAGGAAGAGACCTTATGAGAGAAGTTT